ATCGATTTGGCATTAAAATTCAACGATTTCTTGAATAAGTCAACAGTCATTGGCATAAAACAACTAAAAGCCAAACAAACAAAGGTTGAGGGTTATTGCAGTAGTTATGTGATGTGTGGTGTGCACGTGTGTGTGTTTTCTCATAACTATAACTGTCTGCGGCGCTGCAGAAGGGCTAATATTTCAGTCGACCACATTTGCTTGCTGCCGCAGGACGCAGATTTACAACGGTGCAATTGCCAGCCAAAAAAGGTAAAATGGTGTACACGGTCAGCGCACACACACTCACAAGCTAACAAACAAATGAGTGCATATGAAGTACCAAAAAAAAAAAAAAAAAAATCAAACAGAAATCCGTTTGTGTGGCGTGGAAGGGGCAGCCAGTGCTTCAAATGCCAAACAAAAGTTAAATAAAAAAATGTCCAAGTGAAGGTGAAGTGAACGATTTTTAAAGTGTATATGGTTGGTTGTACATGCCACAACTAAATGCGATACAGAGGCAGAAACAGCAGTGCAAATGGTGGCAACAAGACCAGCTAAAGCAGCAACATCGCAAACACCTGTCTATTTGTTCGCATACACACACATAAACACATTACACATACAGTATAATCACTTAAATATATTGAAATCCAACTCGCTCCTTTTTCCACTTCGTGCTCTTCTCATTTCCGTTTGTTATTGTTGCCGGTTGCATGCAGCGCTTCTGCTTTTATCCCTGCGCTACGCCGCTCCTGTTTGCCTGAGCTTTCAGCTCCTTATTGCTGACGCCCATTGTGTCCCTAATCAGCGAGACAACTGCGCCATTACCGGTTTGGCGTCTGGGACTTAACTTATAAGGAAATTACCGTAATGTACAGGACACGTTTGGCAGCGCCTACACGCAAATACAGCTACTTGGTATTGGCTCAGGTGTATTAGCGGTGCGAGTTTCCAGCAGACAGTGAGTCCTGCAAAATAAATGTGCTTGTGTTGTCCTATTAGTTTTAAGCAGAGTTTTAGCAAAAGTAATTTTTCTTTGTCTAACTTTTTTTTTTGTTTTTAAATTCACCATAAACAGTTGCAGAAGTCATTTGGCGAGCTTTCGCTTAAACTTTTATAGCCGTCATTTTGCTTGATGGCGCACGTGTATTTGTGAATATGTAAATAAATGTGTGTTTCAAGATGCTTTTTTATATCGCTAAAGAAGTTTAAAATTTGTTACTCTGTACTCTGGCTGTTTAAGCTGTTTTGTAATAAGATAAGCCCACTGGTGTGCAATCATCATTACAAGTGCTTACGAAGGTCTTGAGGACACCTTTTTGTACGAATAATTTAAAAGGACAGCATTTGTGGTGGATAAGTTACTGTTATTAGAACAAAATATTTATTTATATTTTATACATATGTAAATACCCGGGTTGCCTTTAGCATTTCGTTTTTTGAGCACAAAAACGAGTGTTATTTGTTTAGAAAATCGCTTTATTATTTTTCAAAATATTCAACATTAAGATCTAAACACTTTTGCATGGGTTAGAACCATTTGTCGAAACGGTCTTGTTGCTCTGATTGAATTATCTCCAAACCTTGTGTTTTGAACGCAGTAACTGCCTCTTCAGATGTCGAAATTTTTTTTTTTTAAAGTTTGCTGAACCCATAAATGCCTATTGCTGTCTCACCGATAGGTCACACGACTATTTTGCAATATCAGTTTGCGCACAGCAATAATAATTTCTGGAACAACGATTCATTTTAGACTTCTTCTATACTGGCGTCGACACCATATACGCGGTGTTAGACGAGAACACACAAAAGATCAAAAGGGGGGTTTCTCTTTCGAGGCTGTTGTTTAATTTTCATTGGGGCGGTTTTACGCGGCGGATCTTCAAACGGATGTCCTTTGGCTATCCATCGGATACTTGATCTAAGAGCGGAAGCCGTGAGCTGCTTGAGCCACATGTAAAATAATCTCAAAGAACTTTCTTCAGTTGCATGAACCTCCAAACATGACTCAATCCTCCATTTTAGAAGACCTTCACAAAACTCGTCTTGAGCTGAGCTACGACATTCGGTTCAATATTCTTCCATGCCATTCGATAAAGGCTATTTATTAATTGATCTTCATTGCAAAAATTGAATTCTGTTCATCGATGCACTATTGCTGAATTATGCCATGTCGAGAGTAGTGAAAAATAAACTCGCGAAAATGTTCCCGATTTAATAATAAGTAACTGTTAACAACACAAATAGCGCTCGTAACAACACAATTACCAGTCTCCTTAATATTCAAAGGACTTAGTTCACACAGTAATGTTCTAAATCTAAGCTTTTGTAACCCTCTGTGTTAACATCCTCAAATAAACCTCTTTCCAATTATTTATATGTCGAGGTTTTGTTATTGAAATTGTAGTAGGCTAAGAATCGACTGTCATTCCTCGAAGAGACGGATCGACAGGGGGAGAACTGCTGAAGATGCTTCTCTGGATCCGGCCATGTTACTTTAGAGCAACTGAAAATATGAAAAAAAAAGACTCACTGCAGATTGAAATCCTGCGTTGACTTTAAAATGAAATAAGAATTTGGATTCATAACTTTATTACCACTGAAAACCAATCATGAATCAACACAACCTCTGAGTGACAAATTTCAGTTGACTATTTTATGTGTTTCTTTTATCAAGCCAGGTCTAGCGAATCTGTGCTTTTAACGTTTGAATTTTTACTCCACTAAAATGAGGCGCAGTAGTGTTGAGAGTTTGGCTCTGTCTATTGATTGACTGATAAATTGGTCTACTCTCTCCGCTTTTTAAGCAACATCAAAAGACTATTTTTGAACTGAACGCATCTACCTACAAAGATAATAAATTCGCACAAAATTCGTAATTTCTATAACTCAATTTTAAATGGCTACATAATGTTTATGAGAAGGCAAAAGTAGGTCTATTTTAAAACGATAGTCTCTGGGACAGGTGCATGTTAACGTCATTCGTATTTTTAATATCAGACACTATAAGTAGCTCAAAGCTATCCATATTTCATGATTCTCATTTCGATTACTGCTTCAAATGACAGCTATGGACATCTTTAAGTACTCGTTTTACTGGAAATCCTTCTTTTACAGAATGCAGTTCTCATATAAACTCATGACCTTATAATGAATTAACTAAACGCTCTCCACAAACAACTTAAGTACAGAAATCAGTTATTAAATGCTTCTTCTACCGTCCACCCCCTACTCATGAGTGAAATTTAATTACGCTGAAGGATAACAAATTTGGCAATGGCGCAGTTAAGGTTGACCGGTTACGGTCACAACAATCCTTGTTAGCCAAAACGAGCTTTGCCAAAATGTTGAGAGCGGACCCTGCAAGAAATCGCTTGGTATGCAAGCGGTCTGATTTTAAAGTTTGTTTGAGCAGTTGTGACAAGGCCTTCTAAAATATTATGTATTAGTCACTAAGTTGTTTCAAGATTTCGTTTATTTCCCCATTATTATTGGCGGTAAAGTTCAGCTTGAATCTTCAACTCCGTAGTGTAGTTCATATGGCTGCTACTCCAACTTTAATTTGGCTAAATTATTTTAGTTTGTTGGGTTACCCTTACGTATAACGTATGGTATATTTTTAGTGTCTGTGTGTGTGCTGACTCTGGCAAATGAACTGCAGTCTTTTTCGCTTGCCAAAAGCATTTTTCTATGTCAGTTGCTGCACTTGTTTTTTCCTTTTCAAATTTTACTTGGATTTAGTTTTTTGTTGCAGTTTTCGTCGCTGGCGCCTGCCTGTGCTGCCATGTGCGTTCTTGAGTGTTTGTATGTGATTATAGCAACATTGGCGGAGCATGGATTCTTTCTCATTTTTAGACTTAGTAAGAGCACTAATGCGATGCACTGTGGTCTATTGCTGGCAAGAATGTCGTAGTTTAATATTATTGATTTCAAGTTTACATTACTGGGGTCTTCAACGAATAAGAACATGGAGACTTGCAAATACAAGGCCTCCCATGGTTAGATCAAGTTTTTGAAGGGCTTTGGGATTTATAATGAAATCAGACCATTTCTCTTATATTGCTACATTAGTTGTTTCAAGGATTGATCATTTTCTTTGCCTACTGTTCCATCAGCCGTTCCAACTCTCTGCAGTTCGCGAACACGCTATGTCTAGCCGCGCCGCATACGCGCACAAAGTAACTATTTGGCTGGCTGACTGCCTGTTTGCTCCAAGGCGGTCTGGAGCGCGTCTACAGCGCTGGCGTGTCTATTATTGGCAGCCGTCTTGACACCATTGCCGCCGTCCGCTTCGTTGGCGTTTCGCGCGGCATGGCATTTAAGGCATTCAAGCCCTTGGAAACAGCGACGGCGGTGCGGTTGACACTCTTTACATTTGGATTGTCGCACATAGAACCAGATAGAACTTTTACATTTCCAGACGTTCACAGTGATTTACACATACAAACACACAAGCATACATGCAAGTCACAAGGTGAAGCGCCGTGCATGAGGTGGCGTCTGATGAGCGTTGACTGTGTCACTGCGACTAATGCCGATCTGAATCTGAGTGAGCAAGTGAGCCCTAAGTGCGTGTGATATTTTGTGTGCGCATTGTGCCAACGCGAATTCCACGAGGCATGACGGCGCGTCTTGGCGCTGCATTACATGTTATTTTTGTACGGAAATAACCTTGAGCCAAATAAACTAAGTAATTTCCTTTTTTTTTCTTGTGCCTTAATTTGGCTTTCTTTGCAGCTACTTCAGGCGGACACGAATAAATTATTGTCAACTTCATTCACATCAGTAGAGCGCAGCCCGGCGGTGTGACAGTGCATTAGTGGCAATACGAAGGACGCATTTGCGCACACTCACGCTCACATCACGTTTGTGACAAATAATCAGCGTCTGGCTGTCAGGCACCAGGTAGTCGATGTGTAAGCGTGCGTTCCTTAGTGGCTGGTGCGGAGTGGGTCGGATGCCAAACTGCAACACACATGCAAGTCGCGGAAAATGAAGGCAGGGGATTTACGCAGCACATGCATACGCTTGTGAGCGCTTTGCCACCGCGATCGGAAGCCCGCCACATGGAAGCAGCTCTCATGTCAGCGGCAGCGGAGGCAATGTCGGCTACAGTTGCATCACAAGAACAGCTGCCGCCTCATCAACGCTATCAACAAGAACCAGAAGCAAAGCCAAAATCACAGCCAAAGAAGTTGAATGCAATGAGTCCCTATATAATAGAAATCGCTGATGATGACGTGCAAGCAAATTATCCGCCCAAAGCGCACACATATGAAAACACAGACACGACAGCGACACAACCGGCGCGGCAGCGCCACTGCACATGTGTGCGCAGCGCAAGCGATGCGGCAATTGTGCTGCGCGTATGCTCGAATTTATGCAACACCAGCGAGGGTCCCTGCGCGCTTTCCACCCAATGTCAGGCGCTGTCACCGTCAGCATGTCTGACTAGCGCTGCTCCTGTTGCAACACCGGGCGCTACAGTTAGACCGGAAACGTTGGCGACAAATCAGCGCAAATATTGCACTGTCTGTTGCGCGCTGGTAGCGCTGGGTAGGGCGCGAGACGACGAGCAGGAGGAGAAAAAGTATTTGGCAGACTATAAGCGCTGCTGGCCGCCGCCACCGTTCATTACGCTGGTGTCGCTACTGGAGGTGAGTTAGTAAAAATTTTGTTTTAATTTGTTGCGGAGACTTCTTGCAGACGATTGTTGGTTCGTGGAAAGTGCACATACAGCTGCACGAGTGCAGTTTTTGTGCCGCATTCGCTTTAAAAATTCATTTATTCCGACGCGTCTGACTTAGTCCTTTTCGCGCGCGTATACAAAAAGTAAAAAATAATAAATTAATGCATAAGCGCTAGGGAGCAGAAAAGTAAATGTCCAAAATTTAAGTTGCTTGGCAGTACAACGCTTTGTTCTGATTTTTACTTGTGTAATGAGGCACAAAGTGGAGTCCATTTACTGCAAGGAGCAAGCTCAGCCTGTTATCTCCTTTAGCTACCTGGGTGGTTTTAGTTATGACAGCGACTGAGTTTTTACTTTTCACATTAAAAGCTTACCACGACAGCACTTTCGACGCAGCATTGCCTTAGTTTTTCCAATGGCAGAGCCGTAGTTCTCTCTTATCAAAGCAATCCATAAAATATTGCTTCATTAATTTAAGTACACTGAATTTTAACACGGAAAAGTTCGATGGAATAAATTGGGATTGCGGAAAGTAACCGGACCCTACGGAACCGGATACGATTGTGACTGATGAGAAAAAGAACTTGTAACATAATTACATCCCATAATTAGGATTGAGTAACCATATATTTACTTTTACCCTGCAGAATATATTATATATATATTCATTAAACATTCATTCACCGACTCAGCAAATAAACTTACAAAAAAACACCAAAAATTTTGGGTTCAATTGGATGAATAGTCTCTTCAGTCAGTCTCTATGGCTTACAACTCTACCTATTTGGTTATAAAAAATGGTTATTTCAAAGTGCGGTCGCTTAACGCACACCATATATCGGCGAATACGCAAAAGTTTACAGTTAGTCAAAACAAACTTCCATCAATGAAAAATGCCAAGTCCCAACAGCGTCATTGAACTTCACGGCGTCAATCGCTGCTGAGCTGCCTGCTTGGGGCGGCATAGGGCGTGAATGTTGAAGAGAAGGGCAACCAGCAGACTGGTGCGTTACGTTTCAAATGAACTTTCAAAGTTGTTGTACCAGTCCAAGCGGTACAAAAAAAATAAAAAAAAAACCAAAAACTGCAAATAATAAAGTAAAAAGACAACAATAACAACACACGAGTTGGCAGCTAGGTCGTATATGCTCATATTTCATCAGAGGCATTGTGCAAAAATGGGTAAAGTAAAGCAAATAAAAGAAAACTCTACGACTGCAAACACAAAGCGGAGGGCTGGCGGCAACTACAACATACCAAGCGGTGTCTGCGCTGGCGTAGTCTACGAGTGTGTAACTTGTGACCCACAATGGCTTGGTAACTGCCGGCATAGTGGCAATAATACACGTAGTGCGTACAATTTTCCAGGGCCATTCAAATGCACTGTGCCTCGCAGCGCCAACTACTTACATCCAAGCACACGTCCGTTTTTCCGTCCGTCAGTCCGTCCGCCCGGCTGGCCGCTTGCGCTGCTTGAAAGGGGCGCAAATGTCTATGTTTATGCGAGTTAATATTACATTTCATAGTCTGGCACTTGTCTGTGCTTATGTTCGGGCGTAATCGTGCGGATGTCTGTGGATTGTATAAAATATTTAGTTGCGCTGTTTTTGCGCGGCTGTGGTGAATTGGGGGCTGCTGCTGGCCCAACTACTGTCTGCGAATCGACTACATTTACATGGTGTAAATGAAATTTGAAATTGACCCGAGCGCGCTTGTGTGCGCATGTATGTGTGTTGGTGTGCGATAAAAGCAAATTTGCTTATGCAATAAAAATTGTTTCGAGCTTTGCGCCAAAGGCACACCCTCCCTGGGCATAACTGTTGGTTTGAAAATCATGAAAATATCCCCAATGCGCCGCCAAAGTCACTGCTGCACAGACACATGTGTGGGCCCGACAACTACTGACGCGTAAACGTATCTACAATGTCTGACGCGGTGTCTCGCCAAGTCGCAATCGTCTCAAACTCCAACTCTGATTCCGCAGACAAACCGTCTTGCGTGCACTCGCTCGCCGGCGTGCTTGGCGTGTTTACAGTGGTGTGTTCGTTATGGTGGGCCGATGACGTGATGACACGCTGCTTTACGATTTCTTCCGAGAGGAGCGCGACTGGCGTGGTGGTGCGCCTGGCCAGCGCTCAACCCTTGTCACTGTCTTTATGATGTGCTCTCCATTTTTCATGACTTTTCTGCGCTTTACTTCCTCATCAAGAGGCAAGACGATTCCGAATTCCATGTATACTTAATGGCACCCAATGCGCCAAGTATTCGCATTTGATAAATTCATTCGCCTTTAATGCTGGTATCTGGCACTTTCGACTCAATCTTATAGCTGTTGACTGCCGAAACTCTGTGGGGCGTGGGGGTGTAGCCATATTAATGTATCAATGAATTGGTATATAAATAAGAAAGTAATTGGAATTCTACTCCAGGCGCTTTTTCTTGTGGCAGATCGTTAATCACAAGTGATTAATTTGATGGCAAACTGTATTTAATACGAGCAGAGTTTGATAAGCCATTGACTATTTCTTCTACTTCGTTACTGGCGTAGAAAACGCTTACGCGGTTATAGCCATGTTAACAACAGCAGGCTGTTTTTTACTGTTCATTGGAGACGTTTTTTACGTCGCGGGTCCCAAACCCAGCGCACAACTCTGTGATAGGGACGTTCGCCTTCTCACTTTTGCTCGCCTTTAAACAGATTTTCTTAGACTATCCAGAGGATATTTGGGCAAACACCGGAAGTAGTGAGCTACTTCTTCTTCTTCTTCTTGATTGGCGTAGTCACCGCTTACGCGATTATAGCCGAGTTAACAACAGCGCGCCAGTCGTTTCTTCTTTTCGCTACGTGGCGCCAAT